GAGCAAGTGGACAAACTGAAATTCTTAGGAATCTGGATTACGGAAGATCTGAATCAGAAATTTGCTCAAGATAAGAGCAATCACGAGCAGCCTTTTTGAAGATGAATAAATTTCTAAGTAACCAAAGACTCAATATTGCCAAAGAGAAATGCTAAAAGATAAGAGTATAGAACAACAAAGCATAAATAAAATCAACAAAGAGGTCTCAAAAGCAATTAGAAAGGACATAAAGGCATATAAAAATGAGAAAATCTCGCAGACAATCGAGCACAACAAGAGCATGAAGATATTAAGAAGGAAATTGACGAACAGCAGAAAAGAAATCATCAGACTTAAGGGAAAGAATGGCAAACTAACGTCCAACAGAGACGAAATGCTAGAGATAGTAGAAGACTTCTATAAAACACTATACACAAATAAATTGGACTTAAACCCGACAGAACATACAGAACAAAAAATTATGAATCAAGGTTCAGAAGACATTCCCGACATATCGACAATATACCATGATCTAAAGAAAATGAAAAAAAAACAAAGCACCAGGAAAAGATGAAGTAGTGGCGGATGCGCTAAAAATCGGAGGCTCTGCTCTCATCAGGACAATCAAGCAGCTCTTCAATATATGCTTAGAAAACCAAGCAATACCAGCTGAATGGAATAATTCTATAACGCTCCTCATGCATAAGAAAGGAGATCAAACAGACCTCGAAAACTATAGGCCAATCAGTCTTCTAAGTCACCTGTATAAATTATTTGCTCGAATTATCACTGCCAGAATTGAGAACAAACTAGAAACATGCCAACCAAGAGAACAGGCAGGTTTCCGCCTGGGTATGGTACAAATGACCATCTAACTTGTCTAAAGGCCCTAATTGAAAAAACTATAGAGTATAACCGGCCACTAGTTCTAGTATTTGTTGACTATAAAAAAGCCTTTGACACTATCGAGATGGTAGCTATCTTAAGAGCTTTGGGAGATTGTAGAATCGACTACCGATATACCAGCATTATTCAACATATATAAATGCAAATGCTACAACAGCAATAAACCTCCACACCCCTACTCAAAAAATAAAACTAAAAAGGGGAGTTAGACATAGAGACAACATGTCACCAAAACTATTCAATGCCGTAATGCAGCATGAGAGAGACAACAGATCGACAAAGAAGATTTTAGAATGGCGGCCAAGGACAGACAAGCGAAATCGTGGAAGACCACCTACCAGATGGACGGACGACATTAAAAGAATAGTGACAAACTGGATCGCAGCTGCACAGGACAGAGAAGAGTGGAGACATCTTGAGGAGGCCTATGTTCGACAGTGGACAAATTTGGCTGTGTGATGATGATGAAAGACTCAATCTACAATTCCAATATTGGATGGTAAAATCTTATATCCACTTTATTTTTCTTTAACGCGTCGAAGTCTAAACTAATGTTGACTTAATTAGAAAACTGAAAGTATTTAAAATATGACTTTTTAGTAGAATTTAGAGAATATAGTGAATTTAAAGATACCATGGACCGATCATATTATGAAGGAATTCGCCACTGGACCGGGTTAAACACACAGATGCACTAAACAAAAGCAGAAGATAGAGACGAATTTGCAATGGTTGGAAATAAATCAACTAAGATGGTATCTTCTTCTTCAAGTGCCATCTCCGCGACGGAGGTTGGCAATCATCATAGCCATTCGGACTTTTGAGACAGCTGCTCTAAAAAGTTAATTTGATGTACATCCGTACCATTCTACCAGAGGTATAAACACGTCCAAAGAATGGATGAACACAGAATACCAAAAAAAGTATTAAACTGGAATCTGCATGAAACAAGAAAGAAAGGTAGACCGAGATTAAGATGAAGGAGAAGGAATCGATAAAGACTTAAGGGAAAGAGGAGTTGAAGAAAACCTTTGGAATGACCAAGATAAATAAAAACTGAAAATCAAAAGACGGCGTAGAAAGGTATAAACTAATTAATTTATTGATTTTAATGGTATAGTAACAATGCAAACACACTTTTATTAAAAAAATTGGGAAGATCATCAGGTCCAGAGGTAATCTTATTTGGAAGAGAATATATGCAATTAAAAATATTAATGAGAATGATTCAATAAACAATATAATTTATGCCAGGATTTTTCGTGATGTTCATATTAAGAATCTAAAAGTTATTAACCACAGGGGCATAGACAGTTTTAAAGAAGTCCTTGAACAAATTAGTAATTTTTTGCCCATAAGGATCAGACTAATACCTGTAAAACATAGCATTTGGTAAAATGTAACTCGAACATTTATCAAAAACATATTTTCAAAATGATTTAGTATTGTCATTGTCACTCTCAGAGAAAAAAGAGTGTAGTATTACTATTAGATTACTTTTTTCTTCCTTACTCACAAATAATTGCAGTTTTTTACACCCTTAATGTTTAATTTTCTAAGATTTAATAGGCTGTTTCATCATTGCTTACTATTTACTAGTCACATGTTGTCACATTTATTTAGATATCTGGTACTTCCTATTCTTCTCCTATTATTTTACCTATTATCAGAAAATAAGGGTAAAATCAACCGTTAAAAAACTTTTGTTCTTTGACCGTTGTTCTCATGCTTCGACATTTCCTTACACATTTCGGTAGGGATATGTCTTAATAAATCTTAAGTAGGGTAGGTGATGATAAGATAGTTGAGGAACCAAAAAATGCCTTTAAAATTAAGAACGAAGGTATTTAATGCATGCGTCCTACCTGTTCTAACATATGGTGCCCAGGCGTGGACGTGTACCAAGAGCAACTAAGATAGAATAAAGAAAACTTAAAGAGTGCTATGGAAAGACACATGTTGGGAATATCGTTGAAAGATAAAAAGAGGAACGAGTGAATAAGATGCAAAACTGAAACAACAGACGCTGTCGAACATGCATTGAAATTAAAATGGAAATAGGCTGGGCATAATGAAAGATATCAGGATGGAAGATGGAATAAAGAAATTGGCCGCTGGAGACCATATACTGCAAAAAAGTCAAGAGGTAGACAAAATGAGATGGAAAGATAACATTGAGCAAAGCGCAGGTCCAATGTGGAAAAGACAAACAGAAGACAGAGACAAATGGGGAGGCCTATATTCAACACATGAATAGATTTTGGGCTATAGATAGATAGATAAGGTAGGTGATAAACTACATCCTTGTCCCATACCTCAAGTCAAGTTGTGTTAGACAGGAAGGTTAAATCACCAGTTGTAAAAGTATTTATTCCGGTTTTCTAGTACCTTATCGTATTTTTCCGTAAAAATTACTAATCCAAGTAATGCTCTATGTGATCTTACTGCGAGAAGTAGAGAAGTAGCTGGTCTTTATTATAAGAAAACTCCACATACTATAACCGATTCGTCGGGAAAAATAATAATAGACGAACATGAAATTCAAACAACCTGGTGTAATTATATAAGTGAACTGTATAATGATGATAGACCCGAAGAACTGGACTAAAGGTGAAGGACCAGAAATACTAAAATCAGAAATACTACATGCTATAAAGTTAGCAAAGAACAAGAAAGCCGTTGGCCCTGATAACATACCGACAGAGATGTTACAGCTTATAAATAAGGAGAACATTGGAATACTGGTCAAGCTTTTCAATGATGTTTATTCGACTAGTGATATCCCTGAAGATTGTTTAAATTCCGAATTCATAACACTACCAAAAAAACAACGTCCGAAAAACTGTAGCGATTATAGAATGATAAGCCTTATGAGCTACACTTTGAACATATTTCTACGCATCATCCACAGTAGAATCAGAGATAAATGTGAAGAAGACCAGAATGAAACACAATTTGGCTTCAGAAATGGACTGGGAACTCGGTACGCCCTCTTTGCACTAAATTTATTAATGCAGAAATGTCAAAATCAAAGGAAAGACGTTTTTGCTGTATTTATTGACTATGAAAAGGCCTTTGATCGAGTACAGCATCACAAATTAATTACAATATTAAAAGATGAAGGAGTTGATAGTCAAGACACACGATTCATAGAAAAGTTATACTGGCGTCAAACAGCGACAGCTTGCATAAACGGAAAATCAACAGAAATATGTAAAATACAAATAGGTGTCAGACAGGGTTGTATACTATCCCCACTGTTATTTAATTTATATTCAGATAGAATATTTAAAGAAGCGCTGCATAATTTGGAATGGGACGTGAAAGGTAATGGAATTCTGATAAATACAATCGGATATGCAGACGATACAGTTATTTTAAGTAATGAAATGAATGGACTACAATGCCTTTTAAATGCTATTAATATAGTTGAAAGAGACTTTGGCCTAAACATAAAATGTTCAAAAACAAAACACATGGTGTTTAGCCGTTTAGCACATCAAAATGCACGATTATATGTTGATGGTCATATAATTTAAAGAGTGTCCAGTTTTAATTATATTGGTTGCCATATTACTGAACAACTGGATCCAGATCAAGAGATAAAATGTAGAAGAGTGCCCAGTTTTAATTATCTTGGTTGCGAGATAATCCATGGACGTATATGCTGACAAATGTAGCAGTTCTTGAGAGAGCAAATGCTGCTCGCGAGCTGCTTGATAACATCAAATGTAGAAAGATAGCCTATTTTGGATACGTAGTAAGAGGAGACCGATATAATATTCTTCAACTTATTATGATGGGTTGACGCAGAGGAATTGGTAGAAAACAGGCCTCTTGGTTGAAGAATATCAGGGAGTGTACAGGAATAAGCAAAGCTGAGCAACTCTTTAGAATAGCTCGAGACAGAGACAGTTTCGCCATGTTAATCGCCAACGTCAAGGGGACTTGATACGGCACGTTAAGAAGAAGATCTTACTGTAATTACATTGACCAACATGATTTACTTTCAGGTTCCAATTTAAATACGCAGAAGCAATTTCAGTTTTGAACTACAGCATTTGAAATATTTCCTACTATGTTACACACAATGAAGTGATAAATCGATCACCTACCTTTGTCTAGTCCCTCATTGGAATAATTCTGACAATCATTGTTAACAAAGGGATTAATCCACAGTGCAGTTTTAAAGCCTTGCGATTTTATTGAATTTATTAAACCCTTTGGATCTGGAAATTTATCCTTGTTAAATACGTGGGATCCAAAGCATACCTTAAATCAAAATCAAATAATATTTTACAGGTTTTTACAATTATGTACGTGATTTAGTCAGCAAATGATGTTAAGCAGTATATTTAAGTATATTTAAGGACTTATTCGTCATCAGGATAGAAACGAAATACTTATACATACTTCCCAGTTTTCATCGATTTCTATCTGTCCTCCCAAAAAGTTATGCTCGACAATACTTTTCACAAATTCATTGACTTTGTTTTGATCAACGGGCTGTTTATATTTAGGCCAAGTAGTCCATACTGGTTTTCTTATCATATTTTCATTTGGGTATCCTAAAATAATATATCAATTTAATATATTGTTTTCATTTAATATTTTTTCTAAACATAGTAAAATCTCTATTCAAATAGGTTTGTAATCAGAAAATATATTTTGGTAATATATATAAGAACATTAACATCTTAAAATATTTTAAGAGAATTTAATATGATTTCTTAGAAGAAGTTAAGAATTTCGCTAGTTAGGGAGTGGGAGAGGGGCTAACTAGCCTACCCTATAAAACATTTGGTTGCAAAATCAAAAGTGAAAGCTAAAAATGCTAAACAAAATATTGACGACGATTTATGCAACAAGCATTACAATAATCAAAAAGTATTCACCTGATACGTTTGTGCACTCTACATATTTTTTACATATATCCGCACTTACCAAAGCGCCTACTGGTATTGACCACTTCTAATAATAAACACCTAAACCTTTGAAAATCCAATTCAATCAAAATTTAATAGTCATGCAATAAATATTCGAAAGAAGCAGCAAGTAAAAAACCAATCAGAGAAATGAAAGAATTAATCAGGGACTGAAACAAGTAAGAAAAAAATTAAGAAACAATCTTAACGATGTTTTTTAGGATCCATAAGTTGCCATTGTCTGAAAGGATAAGACTTTGTGAATTCTATTTATAAATCTTATTAAAAAAATTTTGTGTAATACAAATTGTGCTTTATTTAGTAAAAGGAGAGTTTTTTCTTTATTTTTCTTTCTATACGATCGGTTTTATTCCAAACTATTGATTGATCTTTCCATTGGCCTCTACGTTTATTGTCCCAAGCACCTTTTTTCAGAAAAAATAATAGTAATACTGAAAATTTATACAAGGAGCTGATATAATAATATGGTTCAAATCTGATCCGTGCTCCCACGGCTGATAATTCCGAAGGTATAATCAAATTAGTTTATTTAGTTTCACAATACACCATAATCAACAAAATTTGTAGAGGTTCCATAACTTTTCTTCTTCTTCTTTTTCTTATTTTTCTTCTTTTTATATAGACATGACTCTGTTTTTCAATGTGCTTCTAGTATGTTGTCGTTTTATCGTTTTCGTGGTCTTCCTACTGATCGTCTTCTTTTGAGGAACCGTCTCTTACCGTCTTTACTACTCTTTTTGTTGTCATTCAGCTTATATGATCGTTTCGTTCTACTCTTTTATTTTGTACGCAGTTCTTAATGTTCTACACCTTGCATCTACGTCGTATATCTATACTTCTAGCTCTGTCCTTTAGTCTCTTACCATCACTTTTTTTAAGTGTTTCATCTCTGCTGTTTCTAACATCCATTTTTCCTCTCTGTGTCAGGTCTTGTTTCTGCCGCGTATGTCATTATTGGTCTGATGACCGTTATGTAAATTTTGCCTTTCGTTTTTTTTTCTATATTTTGATTTTGCTTAACAGGCAGCCTGCGGCTCTGTTTGCTCTATTCACTTGATCTTCCACTTCAGTTTTGAGCTTTCAGTTGCTAGATAATATGCAGCCTAGATATTTAAACTTTCATACTTGTTCTACTATCTGACCTTCCAGTTCCAATTTACATCTTGGTAAATTTGCTCTTATAACCATGCATTATGTCTGTATTGGGGAAATTAACATATTCAATTTTCTGTCAGTTATATTAAATTAGGGTACACGAAACATTCCTCAAGAAATAATTAACACGAATTAATTTATTAAACACATTTAACGAAAATATTTTGCCTACCTCAGGGTAAGATTTTGTGGGTAAAGATAGGGCAAGCAAAATAAACGCTACTTGTGCGAAGGGCACTCAGGGTTTGTTGGGAGAGCTGGGGTCGTGGATAAGTAAATGGCAAGGGGTCGGATTGGGGCAACTACCAAAAAAATGGAACAAAGGGTCATGAATCTCTTAGAACAAATAAAGCAAAAAGAAACAGGAAACACCTCTAGTAATTTAATATAGAGTGCCACTTCGAGGTGTCTAATTATACCTATTACAACCACTAGTTGTAACTAGGGAAATAGTTATTAAACATAAGAAATATATCTTTTCCAAATGGAAACTCAAAAAAGGGTTAGTTAAAAAAGAATAAACACAATATACCACAAAAAAAATTGTGGCACAAATTTACATATATATTAATAGTTACAGAGAACAAGAATAACAAAAAAACTTGTGTCCTAGCCATTTACAAACTCTGTTGCTACAAAACTTACAAAATTGCATGAAGGTTAACCTTTTTAAAAATAAAACAAATTAAAATAAAAAAAAAAGTAAAACGAGCAGTCATAAGTTAACAATCAATTGAAAAAAAAAACTGAATACACAAATAATTGACAGCTAAAGTCAAATCCTAAAATTATATAATTTAATAATTATTACAAATCCTTTAAATTTTAATGAAAGCAACTATATTATTAAAACAAATGTCAACTGTACTTTAAATATTTACACTAAAGTTACCTGGACTGCACTGGGTTTTACACTAGAATTCTGGAACTATAACTGAAACTAAACAAAATGCTTTAAGAACAAGGCAGGAACAGCGAGATTGAAGAAGCACTTCAACTGGAAACAAACTGTAACACCAGAATTGCTGCAGGCGACACAAATGTCTTAAATACTTTTTTAACCTCCTCTGTAACTAGACATACTTCACAATTTACTTTTCACTGCTACATATTTCCATAAAATGGGGACAAAAACAGAAAACTATAAATTTGACGGATGAATTTGGATCCATACCTGAGCCTACAGCGATCCAAGTAAGAATGATGAAATTATCTTAAAAATTCGTTCACATAATTTGAAATAAACAAAACGCAGAAATAAAAAAACACAAAAATAATTAAGAAGTAGATTATTAATTTAAAAACGCAGTACTTCGGGCGGCATAAATCAAATAATTATCGACAGGAAAACACGCAGTCACGAAATAAATAAACAACTCTAAAATGGTTTTTATTACTTAACGACGCTAAAAGGAACTGGAAGAATTCGGTGTTTTAATACCTACAAATTTTAAACTAAAATACAATAAAAAATATTCTGCGATTTTTCAAACATTTATGAGGGGATTTCAATAAATTACGTATACGAGGGGATTTTAATGTACACCAAAGAATCAATTAAATTGCAAATGCTACAAACACAACACTAAAATTAACAACCAAAGTGATAAAAAAATAAACTAAATGAAATTATGACACTATCAGAAAAAGGTTTCAGGTCGGGAAGATCTTGCACCGACGCTATATTTATAAGGAGGCATAAATTTTAGAAGATTTTATTTTTTTTATATATATTACCTGTTGGTTTTCCTAGATAGTTATTTACGGCATGGAGGTGGGCTTCTTTTGAGTTTTTCTTCGTAACAATATCATAAGTTAGAATGTTCTGAAATATAAATAAAACTATCCTTAGTTCAACGGTAAAACATAAAACCATTTTGAAACAAATTATCTTAAAATAAGACTATTTAAATTGTTAGCATTAGATTTACTTTTGCATTTGCTGACCACCACTTATAAGAGTCTGCTGTCCGCTTAAGGTAAAAGGTTTTTAAATAAAAATCAATTTCATTTGCCTTTTTTGCCTGCTTTTTCTCTGCATCCTCGTCATTGTCCATGTTGTGTGAAGTGAGTTCCTCAAAACAGTTAAAAATTTCATGTATTTCCATTAGTTTATTTTTATTAGTTTCATTGGTGTTTTTTCTTAGAGAGTGGAGAAGAATCATTATTGGGTACTGCTCAACTTTCCACATTTCATTTTCAGAGCTTCATTATTATCATTATTCTGGCTGTATAACCCTGCATGGGTCCTAGTCTCCTCAAGAATTTCTTTTCGGTTGTCCCTATTCATCCTTTCTTGGCTAAGCACGTATTCCCATTTTTCTCATATCTTCATCGATGATATCAAGGAACATTGTTCTGCGCATTCCTCTTCTTCTCTGACCAAAGGGCGTTTTGTAGTTGGGTCATTTTGTTATATTCGAATTACATGCTGGTATACTGTCACCAGCATTATTTAACATATACTCTAAAAACATCGTTTTCCAGAAGATCCAAGATAAGTCTTGGACAAATCAGATGTTATTGCAGTAAATGGCCAACTCATAAAATAAACAATATTAGATTAGATAATATCGCATTGCTGGTAGATAGTGCGCATTTGCTTTAAAGGATAATGAAATTACAGTAGACGACGCACCAAAAAAATGGAAAAAATATTCTATCTAGGACAGCAATTTCAAGGACCCTTGGGAATATAGTTACATAATAAAAACTTGTATTAAAAAAGTATAAAGTAAGCTTTTCTGCGGCTTACGTATATCAATATACTTCTCTCCTCCTCCTAAGTGTGTTTATTTTATTATTTATTATTTATTTATTTTGTTATATTTCCTATTGTGTGAGGCCAATCTCTGATGTTTCGGAGCCAGGATTTCTTCTTTCTTCCTATACCTCTTTTACCCTCGATTTTGCCTGTTAATATTATCTGGAGCTGCTCAAATTCCTTATGGCGCATTATGTGTCCTAGATATGACGTCTTTCTAATTTTGATTGTATTAACCAGATGAGGTCGTGTGTTCATTATTTCCAGTACCTCTTTATTTGTAGTTTTGCTGGTCCAGATTATTCTTAACATTCGGCGGTACATCCACATTTCGAATGAATTCAGTTTGTTGACGTCATACTGTTTTAATGTCCAGGTCTCACAGCCATATAGTAGTAGAGACCACACATAACACTTTAGTGTTCTTAACCTTATTGTGATTGATAGCTTGGGGTTACAGAGCATTTTACGCATGTTCATAAAGTTTACTCCTCTACGGGGAAGAAATCTGGAGTCTTACAAAAGATGCTGTCAAACTGTTACAGTAATGTAAAATGTAGTGCTGTCGACGTATGTAAAGAGTCTTATGTATACAACACACAAATAACATAACTATTCTCCAGAGGCTTAGAAAGAAAAAAAAAATTAGCAACACCGTAAAAAATCTACAAGGCAAGATTTAGGGCAAGAGAGGAAACTCTGGACTGAACTCTGAAACACTCACAGGAAATAAGACGTCGTATAGAAAAGGCAAAAGCTATCTTCAATCGCCTTAGGAATATTTTATGTAATATGCACCCGAACATTGATATAAGAACACTAGTCTTGAGGTGCTATGTATTTTCTACCCTATTATATAAAGTTGAAGCCTGGACATTGACAAAGGCAACATCCAAATGATTAGAAGCCTTTGAAATGTGGTGCTACTGCTGCATGCTCAGAATTTCCTATATCTATCATGTTACAAACAACACCGTGATCCAACGTACGAATAAAGATCTGGAAAATGTGCGTATCGTGAAAATCGGAAAGATGAGATACTTACGGCCTGTGATGCGCAAGGACAAGTATTAACTAATTCAACTAATTTTACAACGAAAGATAGAAGACAAAAGATCTCAAGGGCGCAGAAGGACATCGTGCTTGAAGAACATCAGACAGTGGGCAGAGTGACTACCATCCATCTATTTGGAGCAGCTGTCAACAAAGTTGTATGGACTAACGTGATTGCTAACATCCACAGAGGATAGGCACCAAAAGAAGAAGACTAGTCTAACGTTAGCTAATCTGTTTTGAGCTGCTGTGATTAAAATAAGATGAGCCAATCGGCCGCCGACATAACTAGAGTATAGGCAGATTTTTTTTTAAAGAAAAATATATGAACCAGCAAACGGCTTCACCACTGAAAACGCCATGTTCAAAAATGAACTTTATATATACATTATCCAGTGAAACTCAAAAAGCACTCGTTATTATGTACATATCTTCTGACGAAATGCAAACATTTTTTGTCGACTATTTCGCGCTTTGGTCAAAGGCTTAGCCAAATATTCGGTATTTGATCTCTAATTAAAAGTATTATTTATTATTATTTCAGATATTTTAGTTGTAAATATTAGCATTAACTGCAATATATAAATGTAGATGTAGTAAAATTATATAACATAATTTAATAATATTAAAACACTTGAACATACTACTAACCCAATTAAACTATATTCGATAAAATCAACATGTTTTCATTATATTTTGTTCTGGAGGGTTGTTATATTTGATTCAAATTTGATGAAATAGTTTAATTATATATCTCATACATGAGTGGGTTTTGTGTAGGTGTTTACAATTAGAACATAAAGGTTAGCACACATGTTATGTTTTTCAATTTGAAAATGTGTTTGAAAACCCTTTAGGCCAATTTGTTTTTAATTACGTCCCGTTTAATGTAATTAGGATCAGTGATGAAGTCCACAATTTTTTGATAATTGCCTTTTTATGCATGGGGTATTCTCTAAATTAATATTTGGAATAAAATTCTATTTTTTCAGAATTTTATTAATTTGTCAACGCCCATAATTTTGTGAAGCAAATAGCTAAAATTTCAGATTGTTTGACTATCGCATATATGGTCAAGATTCATTAAGGAGTTTTTTCTTTTTTTTTTTTCTGAGTGAGGAAATTTCTAAAAATTGTACCAAGTTAAGTTATCCTATGTAATATGTGCCATATGTAAAGGTGGCTGAAGTCCTAAAAGGTAATGGTAATGACAGTTACCTGTTAGGACAGTTGTCACCTAGGCGCCTGGCGGTAGCAGCCGCAACCTTAGCGCAGCGCCTTAGGTTAGAAGTCATTGAGACACTTGTGTTATGTATTTTTAAATAAACGGCCATACGAAAGATCTCTAGTGTTTATTTAAAGCCATATCCTACATGGTGTCAGGTCGGGCCGGGGTTTATTCGAGTTGTGAGTTGTGTCTAGAAGAAAAATGGAAAATCAATTTAAACCCCCAGAACCCCTTGTATTAGATGATGGCAATTTGGCGGCAAACTGGAGGAGGTTCTCTCAAAAATTTAACCTTTACATGGACGCCACCGATTTAGAAGATAAGCCTGAGAAAAAGAAAACTGGCCACATTCTTAAGTTTACTGGGAGATGATGGATTGGAATTGTTCAACACTTTCACATTTAATGTAGAAGGAGACGATAGAAAGTTGCAACCTGTCTTGGATAAGTTTGAAGAGTATTGCTCCCATAAGTCTAACGTAATTTAATGAGCGGTTTAAGTTCAACAGCATTGTCCAAAAAGAGGGGCAAAATTTTGATAGTTTCGTGACTGAGCTAAAGAAAGCAGTGAAAATGACTGAATATAAAGATCAGGACGACATGGTTAGAAACAGAATTGTTATTGGAATAAAAGACAAACAAACACAAGAAAGTCTCCTAAGAGAATCCAAGCTGACATTACAAAAGGCTATTACAACATGTAGACTAAGTGAAAGCAGTAAAATCCAAGCAAAAGCGTTTACAGCTGAATCAACAGTGGATGCAGTGAGGTCAAATAGAGGTACATCGCAAAAAGTTTGCAGTTATTGTGGATTCAAACATCGAGGACGAAAGTATTCAGCATATGGCAAAACTTGTGCCCGTTGCCAGGGTAGAAACCATTTTGCTGGAGTGTGTAGTAAGAGCACCAACGGTCTGGAGTGAAAGTGATGATAGTGAGTTGTTTATCCATTGTGTCAAAACTGTAGGTTTATTGAAATCTGGAGGTTCTCAGAATGTCTGGAAACAGAAAGTTCAGGTAAAAAATTGCATAGTAGAATTTAAGTTAGATACTGGTGCAGAAGTAAATGTTTTGCCTCTTGAGTATATTCAAAATCTTGGTATACAAAAAATAAATAAAAGTAATGTTACAATAGTATCTTATGGTAATGATGATTTTAAAATAAAACCTGTAGGAGAAATTATAATTAATTGCAAGGTAGAGGCTGCATCTTCAGATATTACAGTTTATATAAGTATATATAAGTATGGCTGGTATGGGTAGGATTCAGTGTAGAGGGGTATATCCGAACCTATTTTTCCCTAGAAGGAGATCTTGCAAACAAATGCCATGCTCAGAACAACGGTATTAGATTTAATTTGGATATAGGGCATCCGCAAGCCACTTATATGTATTTCAACCTTATTAGGTCTCAGTCTCACCAACTAAAACCACCCTCTCCTACTTGTGCACTTTGAACGTAGAATGGTCACCTGTAAGACTGACGAAGCTTTCGGGGCACTCTCGTCCCTATTTTGGATCTTACATCTGTCGTTGGTAGGTTGGTGTTTTCTTTTTTTTTTTCTTTTATTGACTGCTTACATGTTACTGTGTACACTATTTCATCCTTTGAAATGAATACATTCTTTAAGAAAAAAACCCAAAGAAAATGGACATGGATTAGTCCCAATGGTGAAACTAAAAATAAAATTGATTATATTATTTCAACGCAAAAATCCATGGTTAAAGACGTAACAGCCCTAAATCGCTTCTCAACTGGTAGCGACCATAGACTAGTCCAAGCCAAGCTGTTCATTGATAGTAGATTTGAAACAAGAAAGAAAATGGAAAATAATCAGAAACTAGACATGGAAAATCTAAAACAAGAAAAACAGACGTATGAAGAGAAGGTAAGGGAAATATTGTCGACAAAGGAAGATATAGAACAAAAACACAAGAACAACATTACTAGAACAAGGGAACAGAAATAAAATGGACTACAAAGAAATAAACAAAACTATTAGATAAATTAGATAAATTAGATAAATTGAAAAAAATAGAAACATGAAGTGCTTAAAGCAGAACCTGGGAAACATACAAATTAATAGCATAAAGAACAAAGAAGGAGTGGAAACCAACAATACAAAAGAAATTTTACAGATAACGCACGAATATTATATAAATATCTATAAAAGGGAACAAAAACCAACCAAAGAAATCCGTAATCAGTTACAACTGAAAATAAACAATGTTAAGTGTGACCTAGAACCAGAAATCAGTAAAAATTACATAAAAAAGGCACTCAAAGAAATATAGAATAACAAATCTCCTGGGAAAGATGGAATAACTGTGGAAATGCTAAAAAATTTGGGGGAAACTACAGTGGAAGTTCTTTATGTACTAATGAATAAAATATTGAACACAAAACAAATACCCACCACATGGAACGAGGCAATAACACTATTACTATTTAAGAAAGGCGGTAGAAAAGATCTGAAAAACTATAGGCCCATAACGCTACTTAATGTAATGTACAAACGGTTAACTAAACTACTAACAAACAGATTAACAACTCAATTAGATAATTACCAATCAAGAGAGCAAGCCGGTTTTAGAAAAGGATTCAGTACAAGCGACCATCTGCTTATGATAAAAATATTAATTGACAAGGCCAACGAATATTAAATCCCAATGTATATGGCATTTGTAGACTTTGAAAAAGCATTCGATAAGGTGGAACATTGAACAGTAAAGAACTCTTTACAAAATAGGAGAATAGACTATAGATATACGGACTTAATTTCCAATATATATGATCAAGGAACACCATCTATTAAATAGTTGAACAAAGGGGGCTTATTAAGATACTGCGAAGAGTACAGAAGAGAAAAAATGGGGGAAAACTACAGTGGAAGTTTTTTATGTACTAATGAAATAAATATTAAAACAAAACAAATACCCGCCACATAGAACGAGACAATAACACTATTACTATTTAAGAAAGGCGATAGAAAAGATCTGAAAAACTATAGGCCCATAACGCTACTTAATGTAATGTACAAACGGTTAACTAAACTACTAACAAACATATTAACAACTAAGTTAGATAATTACTAATCAAGGGAGCAAGCCGGTTTTAGAAAAGAAATCAGTACAAGCGACCATTTGCTTGTGATAAAAATATAATTGAGAAGGCCAACGAATATCAAACCCAATGTATATGGCATTTGTAGACTTTGAAAAAGCATTCGATAAGGTGGAACATTGAACAGTAAAGAACTCTTTACAAAATAGGAGAATAGACTATAGATATACGGACTTAATTTCCAATATATATGATCAAGCAACAACATCCATTGAGATAGTCGAACAAACGGGGCCTATAAAGTACCATGTAAAGGCAAATGCTGAATATCAGGCTATCAGACAGGAAAGGAAATACTTGGATCCGCAACAAAACAAAAGTGACCCATGTATCAACGCAGATAGCAAAACTTAAGTGGAAGTTCGCTAGACATACAATAAGACAGAAAGACGACAGATGGAATAAAATAATTATACACTGGAGACCATATAGTTACAAACGAACTAGAGAAAGACAACAAATGAGATTGACAGATGACTTGAAGAAAAACGCAGTGGGATACAAATTGCCTACAATAGAGAGATGTGGAAGAAGGAAGAGGAGGCCCAGCAAAGGCTGTATAGATAAATAGAATATTTTATTCTTGTTTACTTCCCATCGTCTTCACGATCATCTTTCTCACGGTGACAGGGTTCATAAATATTTTTTATACATTGTGTTTCTCTCCACTGTACATCTATTACACTCCAGCATTGTGTGAGTATTATTTTTCTCTCTACTATGCATCTACTCTAGGTTCATCATATGATAAACAAGGTCATCATATCCTTCTACTTATATGTTCAGCGTATGATATGACAAACGTATGATAAACATCCAAGGGACAGAGATAGAACACGTAGATAAAAAGCAGATGTGTAACAATGGGATAGGCAGTATTCGGAAGACTCTCAAACGTACCATAAAATAATAATATACCTCAAAAACTAAGAACCAAAGTGTTTAATTCTTGTATCCTACCTGTACTTAGATCTTCTTCTTCTTAAGGTTCCATCTTCTAACGAAGGTTGGATATCAACATGGCAATTCTTATTTTACTTACAGCAGCTCTAAATAGTTGGCTAGAGCTCAGACTAAACCATTCCCTTAGATTTCGTAGCCAGGAGGTTCGTCTTCTTCCTACATCTCTTTTACCTTTTATTTTGCCCTCTATAATCAAACGTAGTAGCCCATAACGAGGACCTCTTAATATATGACCGAAATATTCAAGTTTCCGCCTCTTAATTGTCTGTACAATTTCTTCCCTCTTATTAACCCTATCAAGGACTTCAATATTGGTAATTTTGTCTACCCATGCTATTCGTAGCATCCTTCGATAACACCAACGCTCAAAAGCTTCCAATTTCTTAATCTCCAGTTGTTTCAATGTCCATGCCTCAGATCCGTAGAGCAAAGTTGTAAAAATGTAGCAGCGCAATAACCTTATCCTTAGATCCATCCTTAGGTCTCTACTACACAATAGATGTTTCATTTTTACAAATTTTGCCCTTGCTATTTCTATACGGCTTTTAATCTCTTGCGTTTGTTCTGCGTTTTGACTAACCAATGTTCCTAGATATTTGTATTTATCTACCCTTTCTATCTGGATATTATTAATATGGAGTGTCTCGTTGTCTTTTAGATGTTTTGTAATGACCATGAATTTTGTTTTCTTTAAGTTCATTTTAATACCATATATGGTACACTTTTCATTCAGTACATTCATATGTACTTAGATATGGAGCTTAAACCTGGACATTCACTAAAATAAACACATAAAATATGGAGAAGATCAGAAAAACTCAGATAGCTATGAAACGACAGATGCTAGGTTTCTCACTCAAAGACCATAAAACCAATGAAGACATTTGTGATATAACGAAAGTAAAAGATGCTGTCAAACAGGCAGCTAAACTGAAATGGAAATGGGCTGGACATAAAGAACGTCTTAAGGATGGCCGATGGAATAAGTAAATTAGGAATTGGCGGTCATATGAAGCCAAAAGACCAGAGGAAGACCGCAAATAAGCTGGAGCGATGATATTAAGGGAAGCCTACCAACTAAAATCACTGTCATTGGTAGGCTGATGTTTCTCTTTTTTTTTTAATGACTGCTCGGATATATCTGTGTACACTATTTCATCACTGCTTACTTCCCATTGTCTTCACGATCATCTCTCTCACGGTCACTGGGTTCATACCTATTTATTTATACATTCTTTTTCTTTCCACCATCCATCTACTACACTCCACTATTGTGTGAGAAATAGTGTTAGAGTATTCGCAGTATAGACATTATTTGTCGATACTATGGAGACCTATGAAGATATGCTCTGAAACACCTATGTCCTATTAGCACTTGCATCAGGAAGTAATCCAGTCGCCTGTGACCATATTCCAGTTAGTCCGTGATTCTAAGAATTAGAATTTTAGTACACTGAACAGCATCTTTTACCCTTCTTGCTATATTTCCATTGATATTTCTTGATATTTCCCTTTTTTTATATAGCTGTTCTCAAATGCCTACTACTCTCATAAAAATGTTTGCTTCCTATTGGTAATACATGCAGAAGAAGGCAATCCGTGATAGTCCACATAACCGTCGTAGATACAGTCCTATAGCTTACACTCCAGACTGGTGCCGCGGATAATCGACTGCACAATACCGTGTAGGGTCCTCCTTCTTTCTCATTGGGATCTCCCAATGTTAGACATCGCCCTCCTAGCAAAGCCGCACTCTTCGCTGCCTTTCAGACTACATCCTGTATATAATTATGCGTTTCTTTGATGATGGCTGTGTCCCCTGCATATTGGAGTTCCATCCCTTGTCCTATTATTTTAACCTTCAGAATGATGGCTTCAGTTTTGTCTGCTGCGATTTTCTACCCGCGCTACTACTAGTATCTACTACCTTCTCCGTATTTGCAGTTTATGACCCCGTCATATGCCAGGTTCCCAAGGTCCCCAGCGTTGGACCCAGAACCTATTCCTATTGGACATCAGCCGTTACGTCAACAAGCGTGCCCCTTTCAATCACGATCCTTCATGGTTGTTGTGTACCAACATTTATTTGAAAATTACCCATTTTTTCAATTTTAAAAATTTCAGAAAAAGAGTCAAATCTTGATAAAATATGTTTATTGGAAATAAAATCTCAAAACATAAAATAAAATTTAATTACCCAATATTAAACACACTTACTAGACCTTTAGCACAGTCACATCTGGAATATATATGTATTTTCGTTTTAGAAAGTACACATCCTTTCTCTATCACTTTAGTTGTAAGTACCTCTGGTGTAAATTTGACTAATAATTTGGTTAAATCTTTAATAGTTTGATAAAGCGAATATTTAATATTTCTTACATCCATTAACATATAATCTCAATTAAAATATTTGCAATACCGTTGAAAAAATTAAATAATTTACTTACCCTTTGGCGATTTACATAGGGATTTTCACACTTAGCTATCAGAAATAGTACTCCATTTTCGTTATTATTTTGGTCAATGAATAGCGGTACTTTATCATTAATAAAAATAAAAGTACCTTTACTATTTAACCAGTACCTTTCAGCTACAGCAAAATTATCTGATTTTTTAATTACATACGGATCATCCCCATTTAAAATTAACCGTTCCAATGGATTCTGTAGATACCTGCAAAAATATTTAAACAGTTAATGAATGTAAACAGCTCATAAAAGGACCTAACTAATAAAGCTTTTAGTTTTTGAGATGTTGGCAAAATATGAAGCTAAATTACTTTTTCTAGCCACGGAATGCTTTTGTGTTCTAACCATAATGACATTAAAAAAAAAACACAATAGAGTACCATTACACCCGTACAAATATTAGCAGTATCTATTCTTATTGCTTGTATTGTCTTTTTATTCGTTGTCAGCGTTCCCACTTTCATATCTTCATGTTTCTATCTTGGATCATAACCATACCCTTTTAAAACCTTAACAAACCACCAATAATTTTTATCCTTTCTGTTACAAGTAATAATTTAAAACATGCCTCAATCTCATGTTTGCGGCCAATATCTTCTTCTTCTTCAAGTGCCATCTCCGCGGTGAAGGTCGGCAATCATCATAGCTATTCGAACTTTTGAGACGGCTGCTCTGAAAAGTTTATTTGATGTACATCCGTATTACTCTCTCAGGTTGCGCAGCCATGACATTCTACGCCTCACTATGCTTTTTTTCCTTAAATCATTCCCTGCATAATCAGTTAGAGCAAGGTGTATTTCTCTCCACGTGCAATATGTCCGAGATATTCCAATTTTCTTGTTTTAATTGTATTTCAAATTTCTACTTCTTTATTCATCCTTCTCAGAACCTCTTTGTTTATGAAGCGTTCTGTCCACGATATTTCCAGAATCCGTCTATACACCCACAGATCGAATGATTCCAGTTTTTTCATTAATGTCGCATTCAAGGTCCAAGATTCCATTACATAAAATAAAGTCGAAAAACAGAGCACCTCGCCAACCTAACTCTTAGTTCCAATTTTAAATCCCTTGTACATAGCACTTTTCTCATTTTGTTGGAAATTGTTATAGCCTTTTCTATTCTAAATTTGATCATCTGAATGTAATCATTTGTGGAGTTAATCTTTGTTCAATATTTGTTTGGACAAATACGCATATCTCAGATATGCATATTTGTCCACTCGTTCGACGTTGGTTTCGTTTGTTAGATGTTCGTTATTTCTTTGAGTTTTCGATATTCTCATAAACTTCGTCTTCTTGACATTCATTGTTAGACCATACTATTTACCATACTCTGCTATTCTGGTCATTAGTCTTTGAAGATCTTCAATATTTTCGGCTTAGATCACAGTGTCGTTTGCATATCTAATGTTGTTTATCTAAGTTGTAATAAAAACTCCATTTACCTTTATTTCAGCTGTTTCGCCCTCAAGAGCGTTTTTCGGGATGTCTTCAGAGTAGACATTAAAAAGAATTGGCGAATATACGCACTCTGTCTTACTCCACATATTATTTCAATTTCTTCTGACAGCTGTTCGTTAACACGTACTTTTGCTCGCTGTTTATAGTATACATTTGATATGATCCTGAGGTCGTTGTGGTCAATCTTCTTTGATTTCAGGACATTTATTAATTGTTTAGGTCGTACTCTATCGAATACTTTATTATAGTCAATAAAACACGCGTATATACCTTCATTGACGTCCAGGCATGTTTGTATCCGTATATTAAGTGAAAATAGTATATTACTTTATGAGGCGGAAAAGCATGACTTTTCTTGACGCGCCCGATATTACGCGCTGAACGAAGTGATTCGCCAACATCGGGAATGATTGCTGAAAGTTGTTCTCGACCATCAGTATCATCAACAATTACCAATGCGTATCAAGAGTCGGGAAGATTTTTGCACGGTTTCAATTTTGAAAATGCCTCACTAATTAATTGTACTTTTAATATTAGTATAAATAAAAATGATGACATGTTTCATATTGTTGCCATGACATTTTTCCCTCCGCCGTAAAGAAATGGGAAAAAAAACTGCTGCCGGCGGAGACATCAAACTTTGACAGGATTAAGTTAGATAAGTAATGTCATCACTATTTGACATTTGAAGAAAAAAGAGCTTCACGCGTTCCCAGGCGTTTTGCAGCCAATATACTTCGTCTCAAGTAAAACCAGTCAAAAATTTCCGTTTTGCAACCTAACATATGGTCTTAAGTTTATTTATCGAATTTGGCTAACAATGTTTTTGTTATTAAATGGGTATAATGTCTACTAGGAAGTGTGTCAGTAGGTTTAATTATTTTTGGAATACCTACTCTTCTTCTTCTTTTCATGTAGACATGACTCTGTCTGTTTTTCAATGTGCCTCCAGTAGGTTGTCGTTTTATCGTTTGCGTGGTCGTCCTACTGACCATCTTCGTATTGGGGAACCATCTCTTACCATCTTTTCTACTTTATTTGTTGTCATTCGACTTAAATAATCGATAGAATATTCTCTTCTATTTTTTACCCAGTGCTTGAAGTTGCCTTGTGCCAGTGACCTTGCATCTGCGTATTTATATGTTTACTGTATTCTGTATTCCAGCTCCAATTTTCATATTAGTAAATTTGCTGGTATAACCATGCATTTTGTCTTTTTTGGGGAAATTAAAATTTCAGTAACAATTTTCTGACGGTTATTTAAATTGGTGCAGCATAGGCTGTAAATCATAAAATCATAAAAAGCATAGATATGCCGGTTTGTTGTATTCAATTTCAATTCTACATAACACTAAAAGTATCAACCAGAGTGATAACAATTTATTTGTTACATATATGTAACAAAAAAACAAAATTTGTTTAATTTACTGTTAACAATTTATTTGTTATCACTTTGTTTGTAACTTTTAGTGTTGTGTTCAATAAATTAATTTTCCTGTAATTTTCCGGGTACTATTTGTCCCCCTTTTTAAAGAGAGGTATTAAGATGCTTGATCTCAAGTCTTGGAGAAATTTTTTTTGGTCTATTATTTTTTGTATTAGTTTTAATAATTGTTTGCTCAGATTCAGTACTTCGTACTTTAAGATTTCGTTCGGTAGTTTGTCGTGTCCTTTGTGGTAAACAAATGTGTTGTTTGTTCCAAGTTCGTTATTCGTTCTAGTTAAAATCTCCCAATATTATCATGTTTCCTCTGACTTAATCTACTACTTGTTGTAACTTGTCATAAAACGTTTACTTTGTTATTTATGTTTAGGTCTTCTTTCTTTATTTTTATCTTTGCTGTTACAATCCTTTCTGATATGTTTTGAGACTCTTTGATGAGATTTTGTTACCTTTTGTGTATTAGTAAGGCTACAACTTCTTTGATTTCTTTTATTTCTCCAATATAGATTAATTATTCACCCAATATTCATTGTCCTTTACTTTTTTTTTATTTTCTTTAGAGCTCAAATGCCTATTTGATTCTTTTTTCACAGTTAAGTTGTTTTGGGTCCCTTGAGTAGGGCAATCTGATATTGCTCTATATTTAACTTATTCTTATCTGGGTTTTGAATATGTTTTGCTTGTCTTTATTACTACTATAATAAATATATGACAAAAAAAAGATTATAACTGAACTTAGCACTTCAAGAAATCAAATTAGGAAAAGAAAGAAGACCAAATTTCCAGGCTATGATATCTACAGGACAGATCACCGAGCAAACTCGGAAGAAACAGCCATTATGGTCAAAAAAGGAATATAACATCAAAATATACCAACTCCAGACGGCTTATTCACTATGGAAGCCACGATAGTTCGTCTTATCGCTAGAAATGAGACACTAAAAATTGTCTAATAAGCCTATGTTTGAAGAAGATCTGAATCTCATCCTGGACTCAGAAGAACCAACAATCATCATTGGAAGGCAATGGGAAACTATCTGATTATGTTTTTAAAGAGCCCTATAAAATGCGACCGAGCAAGAAGTTTTGGGTTCAATCCGGCTAGCAACTGGATCTAAATAGCCTAAATAACCTTGCATCAAACTACAATCTAATTTTTCTAAGAATTTTCGTTTGAGTTGTATTGTAATCTTTCTGTCACGTATAATATTAATTCTAGGTTTTTAAAACTATTAATTTTCACAATCATGGCACCAAATAAGACAATAATAACTGACATTACTGCGGAAATAGAAAGAAAACAATACCTAGCGTTATTGTGTACACGTTCTATGTTCCAGAGAGGGTTACTGTTATACCGTGTAAGATAATAGTAGAGAGGTAACTGAAAACCATCGGCTTATCTTCTCAAAGAGCCATATAAAATGACGACTGAGCAAGGAAGTACTGTGTTCTGCAATTCGGCTAGCAACTGGCGCCATATAGATTTTGGATCTAAATAGCCTAAATGACATTAGAACAAGCTACAATCGAATGGTTTTTTCTACTTAACAAATAAAAACAAAGTTAAATTAGGTTAATAGATTTCAAAGTTTTTTTTTCGCACTTTTAACACAGCGACGTATAAAATTTATGAGGTACTGTTACTTGGTGTAATTTCTCATATAAATTACGAAACATTGTCTTACCTTTCTGGACCACCAAACCAGTAGCTGTTTCCTAGATCCAGTTGAAATTTATCCACAAACTTATGATCTGTATAAACAGAATTCCAAACAATTTGGTAACCACTATCGATCTGGTTTATTGATAGTGAGGATCCGTTAAAAGCGCATTGAGTAAAGTCGTTCTGGCAGTTACTGACTGTAAAGTCAATGCCTATACCGATTGTTCCTTGCAAAGTTACCTCATTGTCTGCAATATAAAATTAAAAAAATTATTACGGTAAATAGCCAAAGTTAAGTTAACAGTAAATTGCTCAAAAGTATCATTCACATAATAGAAATAGCCTCTACTAGTTTGACACTCATATTGTCATCAACAGGAAGAAAAAGGTACTCAACCTGCCCCGTATAATTGGTTAAATATATATTTAAGCCGTTTTATCTTTTTCCTTCTATTTCTTCTGGTGCCATACGCTATGCAGCTTGTAGGCGTTTATGCTGGTTGGATTATACGTAAGGATCCTTTTTCTGCTCTATTTATTAATGTAGTTATATCAGGTATGTTACAACAGTTTGTTATGTCTTAAAATCATGAGTGTCGTTTGTATCTTGGTCCTTTTCGACCTTCAAATTTGCCCATTAAAATGCTATTAAACAAGTGTACTAAGACAGAAACCTTCTCTTCTTCAATAAGTTTAACTTATGCGAGTTGCTTATCAAGAACTAGTTCCTTTCTATGCTTTATTGTTTTCATGGCATATTATAATCTCATATTTTGTTATTTTATTATATTCGTCTTCTTCTTCTTCAGATTCAAATCTACTAATGGATGTTAGCGATCACATTTTCCATTAACTCTCTATTTCTTGCAATATGTATCAAGATTGTATGTCGTTAATCCCTGTCCATTGCCTTATGTTTCGGAGCCAGGACATTTTCTTGCGTCCCATTCCTCTCTTGCCTTCAATTTTACCCTCGATTATAAGTTGGAGGAACTGGTATTTTTCATTTCGCATGATGTGACCTAGATACGCCGTTTTCTTTTTCTTGATGGTTTCGAAAAGTTGGCGTGGTTTATTCTTTTAAGGACATCTATATTTGTGATTTTCGCTGTCCATGGTATTTTTAGGATACGGCGATAAAGCCACAGTTCGAAAGCTTCCAATCTGTTTATATCCCTCGTTTTGAGTGTCCAGCCCTCTACGCCATATAGCAGCACTGACCATACGTAGCACTTAGTAAATCTTAGTCTCAGTTGAAGATCGAACTCAGAACAAGTCAGTACCTTCTTGAATTTTACGAAAGCTTGTCGAGCTTGCTCAATACGACATTTTACTTCCCTGTCCGATGCCCAGTCTTCAAAAGCCACGATCCCAGGCATTTAAATTTACTCACTCTTTCTATGGATTTACTATTCAGTGTTATGATGGAGTTTTCAAATGCATCCAAGTTTCTGGAGATGATCATGAATTTGGTCTTTTTGGTATTAATCTCTGGTCCCATTCGCTCACTGTATTCTCCGATTATAGTGACAAGTTGTTGAAGATCGACTATGTTGTCACAAATTAAGACACCATCATCAGCATATCGTATGTTGTTGATCAATACTCCCATTCACCTTGATTCCCATCTCTGCATCCTCCAAAGACTCTTGAAATATGGCTTCTGAATAAATGTTAAATAAAAGAGGGGAAAGCACACATCCCTGTCGAACGCCTCTTCTTATATGTATGGGGCTTAGATATAGAATTGTCTATTTTTAGCTGTGCCGTTTGATGCCAGTACAAGTTTTCAATGCATCTTATGTCTTTTTGGTCTATATCAACTTTCTTGAGAATTTGCATTAACTTGTGGTGTTGGACACGATCAAACGCTTTTTTGTAATCTAAAAAGCATAGGAACACATCCTTCCTCTGATCGTAACAATTTTGGACCAGTACCTGTGTTGCTACTATTGCTTCTCGTGTTCCTAAACCTTGCCTAAACCCGAACTGGAATCACTGATGTCCCATTCACATTTTTTGTATAGTCTTTGATGTAGTATTTTTAAGAATATCTTTAAAGTGTGACTCATCAGGCTAATGAGTCTGTGATCCTCACATCTTTTTGCATTGACTTTCTTGGGCAGGGAATAAAGGTAGAGCGTAACCACTGTTGAGGATAGCAGCCAGTTTCATAAATTAAATTAAATATTTTGTGTAGTGCTGAAATTCCCCTTTCATCTAGTAATTTGAGTATTTCTGACGGGATCTCATCTGGTCCAGGTGCCTTATTGTTTTTTGAATTTAATATTGCTTTTTCTATCTCCTCTTTGGTGATTGAAGGGCCAGTCAGCTGGTCGTCTGTATAAACTTCACTCATGGGTCTTTCGTCATGGAAGAGCTTCTGGATATAATTTTCCCACATATCAATTTTCTCCTTTTCGCCCAACACTATCTGGTTATCCTGATTAACTATGGTAGTTGGTCTTCGTTTTCTGTATATTCCAGTAGTCTCCTTAAGCTTTTTATGTAAATTACGGTCGTCGTGTTGTCTTTGTAAATGTTCTAGATCGATACATTGTTGCTTAAGCCATTCATTTTTTGCTATTCTTATTTTTGCTTTTATTTGCCTGTTAATGTTTTCATACATATTGCTGCCATCTTGGTTATTCTTGTGTCTTCGTCGTTCTTCCATTAGTAATAGTATTTCTTCTGCCACCCATTTTTGCTTCTTGTTATTTCGTTTGTACCCTAAGTTGTTTTTCATGATGTCTGTTACAGCACTTGTAATCGTATTCCATGTTGGTGTTATATCTTCGGTAATGTTTGTCGTTAATATTTGAATTTGTGCGTTTATTTCATTGCTTATTTTTGCTTGTATCACTGGGTCTTTCAGTTTATCCAGTGCTATCTGTTGTTGAGTTTTAGGCTTGTTCTTGCATGAAAGAGCGATCTTTATGACGGCCACTAATAGTACGTGGTCAGAATTCGTCTACATTTGTATATTTAAGGTCATAATTTATCCATTATCGTCAAAGGCTTCATCAACAAAACATTTTATATCTATTAAACTTTCCCTCCTTATCTGTCAGTATTTTGCTATGAATTCCGTATTCCCCTTGGAGTGACTCTGATGGGTATATCAACAGCAGCTTAAGCCTACAGCCCTATTGGACCGTCATGGTCTTAAATTGTTATGGAGAGGGACTAAGAATTGGGAGAATAGAGATACCGTATGGACGTTATCTTCTGATCATATTGTAACCAAAGGTATTACAGCACAGACAGATTAAAATTGTAAAATGGTTTTGGGAAATCGTAAACCCTTGTCTGTTGAAAACTGAAAAAAACTATGTTTGACACTGTGTTTATAATCAATTTTTTATTTAAAAATTGTACCGCTTAAAGATGAGTTATTATATAGGAAGGCATTTAAAACTTACCATCATTTAAAACAGAAACGCTTAATCCATTTGTTGTTGGTTTAAGATCAATATTAGCTTCACAAAAATTAAAAACTACTAAGATTAAAATATAAAAACATATTTTTAGGTCCATCATTAAGGATACTAAATAAATTTATTAAACTATATATTTGATATAACAATAAATTGTCAATCCTTTTATAAACACTTGATTTTTATCAATAACAGTATAAGTCAAAGGTAGATTAAAATCCACTTGTAGATTTCTTACCCACTTATAGATTAAAAAACACGTGCCTTATATATGTTGTATAGAAAATATTATAATTGATGTACATATTGAGTATCTTTGTTACTAAGAGTCAGGCATTTTCAATTATATTTGAATTTCAGAGGAATGTGGACAAAACCGTGCAGATCTTAGACTGTGAGTCTGAAACATAATAATGTTAAATGACAAACCACCTAGGTGTAATACCATCAATGCTCAGTAGATACATGAAGCAAGGGGAACAATGTTGCCTAAACGATACCTTATAATAAATTTTCTCATCAAAGTATGTTTTGTTCGGAATTTTTCTTACTTCAGTCGACCTGTTCCAGTTTTTAGGAACCGGTAATCTTCCTTTCAGCTTCTGTGCAATGCTATATACCGCATACCCATTGTACTGTCTTCGAGAACGCTGGAGTAGGATTTGCTGGCAAAGCTGGCCTCTATTCCTAAAAAATCCGATGTTTTGTCTGGACATTTCTAAGAGAGACATATCCAAAATGGTAAATAAATCTTCATCAACAGTTTAGCAGATTACTGAACGTTACCCACATGAAAATAAAGTTAAAAATAAATCAAGGTTAGCTCTTAATAAGATTTTTACCAACCGTGAGCAAAGATGGACCTACATGTTCAAACTACTAGAAATAAACCTTTTATTAGCCAAAGAAATAAACGTATTAGATTGGTGATTAAATTGGACGGATATTTAAACTTTTATGGAATGGAGGCCCAGAAATTATAAAAGAAGCCGAGGACGACCACCGACTAGATGGACCGATGACATTAAATGTGTAGCGGGAAACTGGCTACAAGCGGCCCAGTGTAGAGAACACTAGAAAGAACTGAGGGAGGCCTATGACCAGCAGTGGACGCGATTGGCTGATTGATGATGATGATGATATTTAAACTTTTAGAATTTGGTAATATTTGATAATAAAACTAAAATAAACTTGTATGGGTCCAAAGGAAAATACCGATCTGGAGAAACCCGAATAAAGAACTATTAATAAATAATAAAAAAATATAAATCTACGGTAAAGAACGGTAAAGGTGAAGTGATGATGTGGGGTGTATGTCATCTGTAGAAGTACGTAACATGCATTTTATTGAAGGAAATATGAACCATTTTATGTACTTGGATATACCAGTGCTTAAAAATTAGGTATTATTAATAATTACCAGTTTTATCAGGACAACGATCCAAAACACACGTCGTTTTTGGTTCGTACTTGTTGCTTTATAATTGCCGAAATGTCATTAAAGCATCAGCATAGTCATCAGATTTGAATGTTATTAAAAATTTGTGGCTGCATTAAAAAATAAGTGAATAATGTCCCAATATCAAACAGAAAATAATTGAAAGTAAAAAGTACTGAAGCTTGGGACACGAATTCCCCAGAGTACACTAGAAAGTTGATCGAATCAGTACCTATATAACTGATTAGAAAAATCAGATTTTTTGCATAAAATATTTTCTTATTTAACCTATAAATGTAACCGAGGCTTCTTATCTAACCTAGAAGAACAAAATGGATTTCGTGCAGGAAGGTCGTACACTGATGGTATATTCGTTCTGCAGCAGGTAATCGAAAAATGGAAGGCAAGGAATCTATCTATCCACCTATTGTTTGTAGATTTAGAGAAGGCATTCGATACGGTACATTTAAAAAAACTGTTTCAAACATTGACGAAAGTAGGTCTTAGTAGAGAGTATGTGGATGCTATGGCAAATATATACAAAACTGCAAGAAGTGTCGTTAAAGAAGGAAACTTTATATCTGAATCATTTTCAATAACAAAGGGGCTTAAACAAGGATGTTGTCTGTCTCCGACCTTATTTAAAATATATATTTAATCATCGCTACAGCAGTGGAGAAAACAAGTATCCGGAATGGGAATAGACATAGGCGATGGTAAATGTCTAACAACTTTATTTTTCGCAGATGATCAGGTAGTCGTAGCGAATGATGAGGAAGACATAGACTACATGTTTAGAAAACTAAAGAACGAATATGAAAAGTGGGGCCTCAATATAAATATGCCAAAAACAGAGTTTCTTAAATTAGAAGATGATGAAGAAGATTCAGAATTGGAAATAAGAAACACAAAAACATGCAAGGAATATAAATATCTCAGATCTATAGTATCTAAAAAAGGCACTACCAAAAGAGACATCGAAAACAGAACGCAGCAGGGAAAAAAAGCGGTTAATATTCTAAACCCTCTACTATGGTCTAAAGATATTAAACAAGAAACGAAATTGAAAATCTATCGAACCTTAGTAGAGCCTATTCTGACTTATGGGGCAGAAGTTTGACAGATCACGAAAAAGGAGAGAAAAAGGATAGAATCAGTAGAAATGGCTTTTCTAAGGAGAGTGTGTGGTGTATCCAAAAAATATCATACCAGGAATAAAGATATTAGAAGGAGGACAAATACTGTATATTCCAGTGTAAACAGAATTGAAACGAGACAACTAGTGGTGGTATGGTCACATGATGAAGATAGATGGCCAAAGAAAGCTTTAAATTACATACCACAACAAAGAAGAAAAAGGGGAAGGCCTTCAGTTGCCTGGAAAGAAAATGTACGACACATAAGGAGAGATCCCTTCAAACCATTCCCTTAAGTTTTTAAGCCAGGATATTCTTCGTCTTCCCACATTTTCGCTTTCCTCGGATTTTGCCCTGCATAATAAGTTGTAATAATGCGTATTTTTTGCCCTCTCATCACATGTCCCCAAGTACTCAAGTTTTCGTCTTTTAATAGTTAATATTATTTCCGCCTCATTTCCTATCCTTCTAGTTACTTCCATGTTTGACATTCTTTGAATCCATGATATTCGTAGGATTCTTCTGTAACACCAAAATTCAAAGGCGGCCAACTTATTCAGATGAACTTGTTTTAGTGTCCAAGCTTCCAGACCATAAAGAAGAGTAGAGAACACGTAACATCGAAGCATTCTCAGGCGTAGTTCTATCCTTATATCCCGACAACAAAGAAACTTTGTAAGTTTAATAAATGATGTACGTGCTATTTCAATACGTGTCTTAATTTCTTTGGTTTGGTCTACATCTGATGTTGTCCATGTTCCTAAAGTATTTATAGTTATTAACACTCTCAATTGCAGTATCTTCAATAGTCAATTGGATATTTGCAT